TTTTTCAATACCTAAAAATGTGAAATTACCGCGGATCGCCAACTTGAAAATCTAGGTTCTTGGCTTATCGAATTATGACTGCAATTTAATCTATATGGAAAATCAAATGCTATAAATAATTCTCATGCTGGATATAAAATCATGTTAAACAAGACGATTTTAGAAGTGGTCTAGAGATACAGGGTAATTTCATGAAATCAATTGTAATTATAGATCATAATCGAATCGTTCTATTAGCAATCAGTGAAATTATTCAAAACGAATCATTGTTTGAAGACTTATTGTTCTGATTAAAACAATTTTGGTGTTAATATACAGTACATATTGTGTCGTTTCGGTAGTCATATTTGTTTTTAATATGAATATAAGTACACATCTATTATTTATGTTTGATTTAATCCTCTTCTAGTTGGAAAATCGTTTTTATGTCATTCAGACACTTTATACGATATTAAACTGAACACAACAAAATATTTGAAAATATGTGTATTGTATGTCAAAATAAATATATTATCGACCACGATAATAATGATTTGAATTGATTAATTATTCAAACTAACAATGAGCTGTTGCTCCTTATTTCCTTGTGCATTATTTTTCTTTCTCTGAACAATACATAGAAGATACATATCATGTTGTCGGAAAAAGTGGCACAAATACCCGTCCAACTCAACGTTGTACAATTTAGTTTTCTTGATGGAAACTGTACATACAAAATTCGTGCGAAAGTATTTCCTCCAACAATTTATCATCATTGCCGGTTGTACAGGCGTCAAAATAAAGGATTTATTTTTGCTATTGTGTACATGTGTATGAATAAGCGAGACCAAGAACATTTCAAAGAAGAATTATGTGATGCTGGACTCGTACTTGGAACGCTTTATCCACATTTCGAATACAATAATTGATTGAAAATCCGAACACATAATAAAATGGCCGTTTGTGGTAAATGCATATCTAATCGTTGTTCCATTCGCACAGCTTTCAACGAGAAGAAACGTTCATCAGACCCATTTATCACGTCAGCTACAACAAAAGCACATAGCATTCTTATTTCGTTTGTGTTGTCTATTTTCACGAAAAAAAAAGATGTTAATTTCTATTCCATGCAATGGGAATGGTGAAGCAAATACACGACAGTCATCATGAAGTGATTGTCTTTGTGCTTGGCCAAATCGAAAATTGATGTTGACATTTCTTTGTTTGGCTAATTTGTTTTCTTTCGTAATTCGTTCTTATGCGAATGCCTTCGGTCGAACTAAGTCGTTGAATTATTCATTCGGACGAATGAGACTTTTCGATGATTCGATTGGTGGCATCATTACAACAAAGAATTTCTTCGCCAACAACAAAAAAACGAAATGAAAAGATCCAGTAGTGCGTAGCATTTCCGTATCCTAACGTTATTCAGTTCTACATTTTGATATTATAAGATACCAACGTGTTTCCTTCCGCACCAAAAGCAACATAGCATAAATTGTACATTGTCGATGTAGAAGATTTTTGGTAGCGATTTTCTTATCTCAGATTTACCAAAATTCCATCATTTCAACATCAATCTCAACCGAATAGTTTACAAAATCATCAATACTCTGAGATCTTGTTGAAGAGTCTTCGTTGCACAAGCACCCACAATGAACCCGAAATGCCGAACTTCAAGTAGTTAACCATAAAATTCAAAAGATATGAATCATAAAATTGTGTATAGAATATGGAGCAGCAATAGAATATAGTCAATATTTTATGTGATTTTCAGTAACAATAAACACACACACACACAAGATACATCGTAAGACTTATTGGCACCCGTTCTATGTACATCGCATGCACTTACTGCTGGCTTCAATGGTGTCAACATGGAAATTCGACGATAAAAACCTCTCTGTCTCTCGTCGTTCTATCTTCTATCGTCTCTCTTCTTGAGCGTCGTCGCCAAAATATGGATCACCTTTCAAGATGTGCCGACTTAAAGCTAGTCAATGGCATTGGTTATTCAGCGATATAAAATTGTAAATATAAAGTGTCGCGGTTAAAGTGGCAAAAATAGAAGGCAATTCGTCATATTGAATGTGTACATGTCGATGTTGTGTCTAAACGGATAACTGCACACTAATTTGTATCGTTGAACATAGTTGCATAACGAAGCTTTAGAAAGCATGAAATGTGCTTAAAAACCATCTGATTTATGTACAACGGAAACCTGCTTGCAAAGGAAATGTTGAAAAATGAGAAACACATTTAGTTTTCCTTTCGGTGGAACTTTGTGAAAAAAAGAATCAAGACATTGTCTCATAAACTTCTTTGTAACCAACAACATTTATGATTTTTCTTAGGAAAATCATTTGGTTTGACGGATACTTCCTTCAATATAATAAAACAAATCGATTTGGTCATATTTTATTCCATAAGTTTTTTTTACTTATTTTTCAAAATGCTTGAATTTCAATTTTTCTTTATAAAGTTTCGATTTTAGTTTATAAAATTTAATATCCGGAGCAAAACACATTATGATATGTAATCTGAAGATCGCATAGAATAAAAAAAAACTACTCCAAGAAAGTATATTCATTAGCCATGGAGCAAAGTGCATTTGATTCAAGTTCATTCACTTATTTTACGGTTATTAGAAAGAAAAAGCGATGGTGAACGTTTTTTGAGTGTCAAAATTCTCTATTTGCGCCGTTGCCACCCTTAACAACAACTGAAAACTCTTAAACTTTGACCATAATTAAAAGAGTAGAAAAAGTATACTAGCATGTTTACGGATGCGGAGAGTCAAGTATTGTTTGGGCTTTTCAAATTAAGCTGCTTAAAAGCGTTGCATAAACTAAATCAAAGAACTGCAATTGATGCCAACATTTTTGCTTTTTAATCGTTTTTAAAGTAAGCACCTTCTCTTCAAATCCGAAATCTTAGGCACAAAGAAACGAATCTGCTTCTATTTTCTGCAGATGCAATTTTCATTTCAATTTCGCATGGGTTGTATGTATATATTTTGCAAAAAGGAGTGAAAATCCACGGAAAATATTAAGTGTTGTTATTTATGATATGATCAAAGCCAACAAAAACAATGGATGCACAACATTTTGTTGCTGTTAATTTCTTTTTTCGCCTTTAAAGGTGAATACATATGTGCAGTGAGAGTAGATTTTTCGATGCACTTCAAAGTGTGTTTCCGTTCTTCTTATGTTTATGAGATGGATCCGTTATGCATCTATTGTTTCTCTTCCAACTCCTTAGGAAAGTTGCAGCAAATGGCTTACGTTCATCACAAACATTTCACTTTGTAAACTTTTGGTAGCAGCAATTACTTAACGCGACTTTGTGAATTGTTCAAAGCCTCTCTCATTAAATTTTCTTCTCAAAGATAGTTTTAATGATGCATTCTCGAAAGAAAAAACGGAACAATATGTAAAACGAGAGCCATCAAGTGCTCTCGCACAAACTCTATATGGCAATATGTGAAAACTTAAAACTTAGATTAGGAATTTTTTTGAATAGAAATTGGCTGAGCCGAGAGCCAAAGATCGTAACCATCATCGTTTCAAGCTCAATTCAGTTGAACACATGTCGAATTTTGATAAACTTTCGATGTAGTTTTTAAATTAGGTTGCCATGCTCTTCATAAGAAACGTGTATGTTTCATATGTTTGGTGCGAAACCATGGTGCTGCCAACAGCATAAGATCTTGTGTGAAAAAAGTTTGCGATGCAAAAGACGATTTGACGTTTCAATGAACTTTTACCGTAACGATGTGGCATTTGTAAGAAATAACGAACATCAACAAGGCGCAACCATGTATTATGTGGTGAAAATTCAAGATGCGTATAATTTTTCGTTTGCCTTTCAACCGGAAAACAATGAACAAAATGAGAGCAACATTTTCAAAGACGAATTTAGAAAGACATGGAGCGGGGCGGAAATCAAACATTGAAATGCATAGAAAAATTGTTTTTCATCTCGTCATTTTCCGACAAAGTTTGCCTATAATTCACTTCTTTATTACGTTCATTTATCTGTGCGCTTCGTTCACTTTATCGCCTATAAATCCTTACCACCTTACTCGCGCAGTACTTGGAGCGGGCGGGGGCAGTATTTTCGATGCGTTCAGACGAACTAATTATTATTATTGCAGCATTATATGAAACGTAATGGCGCATAATCGCCGAATTTTTCGACGAACCAAATGAAGAGAGAGAGAGAGAGAGAGAGAGAGAAGAATGAAGCGACGAATATTTGGATTTGCCATTATTTGTTATGAAGACGTGCCTTGTGTATGCATGAGATTAAATGGTAAAGTTTGCTTCAATGGCATCTCTCACTTGATATGTGAATTATTGAGCATTTTTCGCCGTTCATATGAAATATGTTGAGCGCTACTGAAATGGAACACTATTTTAAGAGTTAAGCTTCTAACCATCCGACCAATGATTCTTATTTTACAAAAGCATCGGCAAGTCAATTTTTAAAATTCATTTTGTGCATGGCTACTTTTAACGATTACAATAAATACGATCACTCCACTGAAATGTGACAACTTTTGCTGCGCTCGAATACTTTTCGAGTTGTGTGCCGTTAAACGTGTGTGCATACAAGCGCTGGCGTCGAAACGGTGCTCTGCTATCCATATCCATTGCTTACTGGAACAAAAGACACTTTACATGTTAAACCAAAAGAAATTTAATACAATTCTTGACTTTTTGTTCGACTACGAATTGAATTTATTCAGAGTGCGGCATTGTGATGTGTTGTCCTATGGGAATATTGTAGTGAACGCACATCGTTCAAGCACTAGTGCACGTACATAAATTCAACACTCAATGACATTACGGTATTTTTTTTTTAATTTATGACTTTAACATGCATGAAAAATGATCGACCCTTTCAGGTGCATAGATTTATAATCAATGTTACCATTTTACTGAATGCACGTTTGCATTCATAGCATTTTGCTTACCAAAAAATCATTTTTTTAATCAATTTTTTTTCGGTTCTTTCAGGTTTCATCAAATATTTCGTTTAGAACTTCAGGTAAGGTTCCATCAATTATTTAACGAACATATAAAATGATATTAAATACATATTTGGTTTTAAACTAAATACACGCAACGCCAAATTAATGTATTGTGTTATTTGTTCATTAATTAATAGCTTGAAATAATGGATTTGTATTTATTGTATCGAATTCAGTAATTATGGACGCCAGAAATTTCATTAAAACGCCGAAAAAATGAAAATGGACGGATATTAATTTACAATTGCATGTGCGGGATGCATTCAGAACAGTCTCGAATTTCAATACAAAATTAAAACAATGAGATTGTTCGATTACATTAAAACATACAATCGATCGTGATTAATTTAAATTTATTGGCTTTCACTCGAACTTCGAAGTTATCACTAATCTTGTTTGTTTCTCCTTTCCAAGCCAAATTGATCGTTGTATTACACGCCAAGAAGTCGAAGCTCTTTCCGTTCCCATTCAAATACGAAAATTTTGGCTGCACCGAAACCAAGTGAGATAAAAAGTTGAACACATTGTGAAGAAAAAAAAGTCGATTCGATACGAACATGAACCCCATGTTGATATTCGATTGTTGCAGCATCCATTTTTTGCCACCTACATCTTTCTGTGGATTTCTCTTTTGTTTTCTTCTTTATCGCAACATTCCATTTGTTCTAAGAGTGTTTGAGGGGGGATGCGGTGTACGATGAAAGTTGGCAAGGAAATGATTCTAATCGAATGGAATTAGTTGAACAGTTTCCAGTAACAGAAAATTCGGAATGCATCCATGTGTATTTTAAACTGTGTAAAACTATTTCAGTGAATTGTTTTCATGTGTGTAGTTTTTTTTTAAAAAAAGTACATTCTATCGATATCCCGAGTTACCATTTTAAAACATTAACAATCGATTTACTCAATTTATGTGCAATTTAATGCAGTGCTAACAAATCGATCTGGTTTTCTATTGTTCTTCTATTTTCTCGTGTTGGTTTTCGTCGGTGAAAAAGTTCGTCGATTGCCACTAAATTATGTCATGTTTGCCAGAGTGCAAATCTTGTCTTACCCAAGGCATCAACCGTTGGAAATGATATTAAAGGATGAAATTGTCCATACATTTTACCGCAGTTGGCAATGTACACTGTCGTCTTTGAGAACTCTTCACACAACACAAAATCATTTCCTGAGTTCTTTGTAATATCCAAAAAAATTTGTAAGACGGAATTCGACAAATCCGCACAACAAAAAATTCTTGCAAAACTCATCTAAGCACTAGTTGAGAACACAATAATATTTGTATGCATTAGACATTTTTCTCTTCTCTACTGAACACACAACTTACATCCAAATATGCAAACACCACATTTACTATTTGTGGAAAAAAAGAAACGAAAAAGACGTTTGATGTTCGTTGTTTTCTCTCTGTTTTTGGCATCGGCTAATGTTGAATGCTTTTCGTTGCAGTTCTGATCATGAATATTCCGGTTTATGTTTCGATAGAAATCTATGCTTTAAATACAAAAACAAACTCAATTTCGTTGTATTTTTGTTGCTTTCGTACAGTTTAATCGTGATTTTCCAATCGTGCACATTTTGTGAAGCCAAAGTGTGACTTGTGTGCAACAAAATTATGTACTTATTCACAGATTTTCGATATAAAATATTGTAAATTGAAAAAGTTTTGCTCGTTTTGGGTGCGCTGCGTTTGTTTTGTCGGAAAATATAATAACAACACCAATGGCATTTTATTAATTCACAATTTTGTGGCGTCGTATTTTCGACAGTTTATTATCGAAATAAATTTTCTCTCGAATACCTATCGTATTTCCTTTGATAGTTTGAGTACTTTGTTTACATTGACAGTATTTGTTGGTTGTTTTTAAATATCCATTATGCTGATATTGCTCTTGGCGTACACATTTTCCAAAGGACAATCAATTTGAATCAAAGTTTCATTTTTCTCAAAGGACATTCAATTTAACATTCAAAAAGCGTGATTCAGAATAAAAATGGCGCCTGGTTTGTGTGATTATTGTTAAATTGAAGCGACACTCGGCATTGATACATCAATGTAACACAAAGCTAACAAAGTGTTTGAATATGAAAATGTGTTTCATTCGCAAAAAAGAGTGCAAAAATACATTTGATAGTATACTATCAAATTGATACACGATTGCAAATCAAAAACATTCTGTTTCCCTATTTCTTTTCATCGGAAAATAATAATGAAATTGGACATTCACATGAATATTTTATCAACGAATATTTAAGCAGCGATGATAGCATTGTTGAACAGTGCTTCCATTTCTGTCATAGCAATTGAGTGATGATGGATTACAAAACAGGACCCCAATGAATATTTCACTTCAGATTGCTCTCTCTCTCTCTCTCACTTTATTCAGATGCCAGCGTTGATAATATACATTTTAACAAACATGCTGCTGCAAAAAATGAAGCAATATACCTGAATGCACTCGAGCGACAAAAATAGATACCGGATGTGATTCTATAGATTTTCGAATCAAATCGATGGATGTGAACATTTCACAGATGAATACAATTCAGAGGTGCCAATACGATACAAATATATTCTGAAATACCATTGAAATGTCAGCAACACTACTTTGTAATTGGTCATCATCACAAATATCGTATTTGTTATACTCACAAAGACTGAAATATAATTCTTTCTTTCTTTCTCAAAAAACCCCTTAGTTTGCAAAGAAGCATTTATTTTTCTCTGAAAGCTTGTCATGTTTGTAGTGCATGTCCAAAGGCATGCAGTGAAGTGTGCACGTAAACGTTTTCAATCGAAGATTCAATAGCTTAAAAAAACAGTATCTCTTTATGAGCGATTGAAATCGAGATTACATTAAATGGCGTCATTGTTTCGAATTTCAGGTTTGCATTTATTGTTTGTATTTTTATAGTAGATCAATCTGATATCATCAATGCAATCTCTAACGACATTCGAGTGAAGTGCTGTTTTCTCATTATTTAGTATGAAAATATATGCATGCAGAATCACTGCATGTGTTTGACACTCAAGGCATTATTTCGATTGCATTTCATCATTGTGATTGGAATAAATTTTACTTGCCTAAGGACATTCATTGTTGATTAATTCCGAAGGGTGGAAATGTTGGCAAACCTTGCGCACAGCTTAGTTTGGAAATAATTTGTTGAATTGCATTGAATTGTTCATATGAAATGGGGCGCTCGCGTTCACAAACGTGTGAACACAAAAACTATGACATTTCCGCCCTGTGATGAATTCAATGCATGGCTGACTTCACAATGTATATTGCCTTTTGGGTATTAATATTTCAAATTCATCAACAACACATCCACTGGTGGTAAATTCATTCAATTGAGACTCAGAATATGTCGAAAATATGCATTGATATATGCTGTTTAGAGGAATTCAATTTAAGAACAAAATATTCCAAAAATGTTCTCAATTTATTCAAGTCAATATATTTCTTAGAATTTGAAATAAAGATATTTGTTATACGTTCAAAATCTTCATGTTCCGAAAAACAATTCCATTGTTTAGTTTTTAGTTTGGTGTTCCCTTTCAACTCAAAAGTGTCCTTTGTGACAAACGAGAGAGATGCTAATCTTTAGAAAATAGTTGAAAAGTCAACTTCCTCTTGAGCAAATTACGTTTCAAGTGTGCATTCTTTCATCAATGTTGCGTTTGGATGCAATTTCAAAGAGTGATTCCTTTATGTCAAGTAAAAATTAAATTAAAAATTCATTGAATACCTTGAAGAGAATAGAACTAACATTTCGAATGTGTGTTCGATGCCATAAAGCATACGTGATGAAAACATTTCCCTATTTTCATATACTTAGTAGTTCATTGTGGCCATTGTACAAGTGAAAACAATCTCTCCGACTCATCTCGACTATCCAAAAGTATAACATTGATGCAAAAACCAAAGAATGATTTCAGAAGTATGTGCAACAAAAGCGAATAGAATGGACCGTCAATGAACTCGTCTTGGTAAATAACTCAATGAACATTTTTAGTTGTCTCTAGTCAATTAAATTAGTTTCACTTGCTAAAAATATCAAAATCCACCAGACAAAACACGTATATGATTTCAATTCGTGTCGGTTGTGCAGCAGATTTATCAAATTAGTTATTCAATGTGAATTTTCATCCAAAACACATTGACGATAAAGTGACAAGAGTACAACGTGGTCTTAATTAAGCAGCACCATTCGTCTGTTGCTCTTTTTTCTCTGTTCATGGCAAAAACTTTTACCATTGCATGACATTCCGATCATTTTACTCGCTTTTCTCCACCTCAACTTCTCGATTCTATGTTTTCATTTGTGGGGCTGCTTCATAATACAGCAATAGCGAATATGGTGCATTTCCACCTCAACGAGATAAAATGAGCATTAATGTCTGTGTGCATGTTGTTCATCGTGCTAAAGAAAATTACAAACGAAAGAAAAACAATAATGGAAGTTTAGCCAAACTGTAATAATTAAACAAGTTACAATAACAAGAAATAGAAAATAGCTGCAGAGAAGAAGTTGACTGCACCAAATTTGTGTGCGAAACTTATTTTGTATAGTACGTGCGACGCCACACAGCATTTTATCAAGCTACACTAAAACTAAGAACAAAAACAAAAATTCCAACTCCAAACGCAAAGCACACAAGCTGAAATTAAATACCTGTTGATATTGTCATCTCGCAGGCAACAAAATGAGCATAATGAGAACATGAACCGTTTGGATATAATGAGAAAATAAAGAGACTGGCATTTTGAAAAAATGATACATTTTAACCATGTGAAATATTCGAGAAAAAGTGAGATGGAGAAGGGAAAAAAACACAATACAAATTGACAAAATTATTTGAATTCAACTGCAGAAGGGTCTTCATTTCGTGAAATATGTTTCGTTTTTTCTGTGTCGCTTTTGACATTTGAAAAATTATTTATAGCAAAGCTCCAATCAACTCATATCGTTCGACAAAATGAAGACAAGAAATGTAAAAGAAAACTTA